TATATGTGTGTACATGTATAGATGTAAGTGTATGCATATGCATGTATGGATGTGTATGCATGTATGTGTATGTGCATACCTGTATGTGTATGCATGTATATATGTGTGTATCATGTATGTATAAGTGTGTGTGCATACATGTATACATGCATGTATAGATGTGTATGTGTATACATGTATGCCTGTATATATGTATATGCGTATGCATGTATACATACCTGCATGCATATGTTGTGTGCACATGTATGTGTATATTTATATGTGTATGTATACGTGTGTGTGCATACGTGTGTATGTGTGTATGTGTATACATGCATGTATGGGCATACATGTATGGGCATACATGTGTGTGCATGCATGAGCATACATGTGCACATGTGTATGCACAGGTATGTGTGCACTTGTGTGTACCTCTATTTGTGTACATGTGTGTGCATGTGTGTCTACACATGCATGTGTATGCATGTATGCGGGTGTATGTACATGTATGTGTACACATACATGTACACGCCTGTGTGTGTGGGAATGTATATGTATGTATGTGTATGTATGTGCAGGCATGTATATATACACACATATGTATACACCTATTTATAGAGAGAGGCGGGGTTATATAATTTTAGACAGGCTGATCTTGAACTCCTGACCTGTTCCACCTGCCTCAGCCTCACAAAGTGCTGGGACTACAAGCATGAGCCATGGCACCCAGCTGAGACCACCTTCTCTGGGGTGCCTTGAATACATTTTCGCCACAGGGACTTTTGTGCTCCTAGCCCTTCTCCACTCCCTTCCCCCACCCCCTGGCAGCTCAACTGGCTCTGACTTAGCTCTAGGCAGAGTTACATTATGCAATTATTTGGTTTTCTTTGTCTTTGAATCTAGTAGGCACTTCATGATTTTAGAATGGAATGAATGAGAACATGGTTTAATTTTCCAGGTGACAAACTTAGTCATTAACAGGACAATAGAATAAGGCTTTAAGAAATTTTGTGGGCCGGGCGCGGTGGCTCAAGCCTGTAATCCCAGCACTTTGGGAGGCTGAGGCGGGTGGATCACGAGGTCAAGAGATCGAGACCATCCTGGTCAACATGGTGAAACCCCGTCTCTACTAAAAATACAAAAAGTTAGCTGGGCATGGTGGCGCGTGCCTGTAATCCCAGCTACTCGGGAGGCTGAGGCAGGAGAATCGCCTGAACCCAGGAGGCAGAGGTTGCGGTGAGCCGAGATCGCGCCATTGCACTCCAGCCTGGGTAACAAGAGCAAAAAAAAAAACTCCGTCTCAAAAAAAAAAAAAAAAAGAAATTTTGTGGACAGCTTGGCAAAGGAAAATGTCATTTGGGCAAATGTAAAATCCTCCGCTTAGGCCTACTAAAACAGTAACTGTAGAGGTGTGGAATGCAGCATATGGAAGTGTTAGGATTCCCTGATATTTAGGAGTATGTGTGAGGCAGGAAAACAGGGTCTGGAAGCAGGGAACATAAGGCCCATTCATACTTCAGCTATCACAGGAAATACCCTCTCCACAGTAAATGATTTTGCAACTTTACTTCATTCTCTTCGTTTACACAGGGCATACCCCAAGTAACCAGTAGAACCCTCTAGAGGGTATTTAAACTCCCAAAAATTCTGTAACAGGACCCTCGGGCCCCTATGCTTGGGCCCGCTCCCGCACTGTGGAGTGTACTTTCATTTTCAATAAATCCCTTTATGCTTTCCTTGCTTGTGCGTTTTGTCCAATTCTTTGCTCAAGATGCCGGGAACCTGGACACCCTCCAGCGTAACATGTAGAACATAGTCCCATTGGATCTGGCTGAGCAGGCCATCCCAGAAGTTTCATGTTCAGTTTAGGTGTTCTCTGAAAAATTATTTGTTTAGCTATGTGATTGAAATATATCTAAATATTTAATTAAATATGCACATAGAGAAAAGAAAAAACTCAAGAGGCCACACAGTGAAAATGCTCCCTTCCACCTCTGTCCACTGTCTACCATTTACCATTTTCCCTCCCAGAGGCAATTACTATTTATTCACCATTTTCTTTTCTTTTTTTTTGAGACAGTATCTCACTCTGTCACCCAAGCTAGAGTGCAGTGGCACAGTCTTGGCTCATTGCAACTTCTGCCTCCCAGGGTCAAGCGATTCTCATACTTCAGCCTCCCAAATAGCTGGAATTAGAGGTGTGAGCCACCACTCCTGGCCCTATTCACCATTCTTTTTTTTTTTTTTTGCTTTTGAGATACAGTTTTACTCTGCTGTTTAGGCTGGAGTGCATTGGCATGGTCTGGGCTCACTGCAACCTCCACCTACTGGGTTCAAGCAATTCCCCTGCCTCAGCCTCCTAAGTAGCTGGGATTACAGGCGCCCACCACCATCCCCAGCTAATTTTTGTATTTTTAGTAGAGACAGGATTTTACCATGTTGACTAGGCGGGTCTCGAACTCCTTACCTCAGGTGATCCACCCGCCTTGGCCTCTCAAAGTGCTGGGATTACAGGCGTGAGCCACCGCGCTTGGCCTTCACCATTTTTTAGAAGGGCCATTGACCACAGGGAATCTGTTCAAGGAAACAAATGAGTGAATTAGGATGCTTATGATGGAGAAAGCAAGAAACAGCAGCAGAAAGCAAGATGATGTGAAGATTTCTCAGGAAGAAGGGCCCGAACAGAGCTGCATTTGCTACAACTCTCACAGAACAGAAGCTTCCAGGCCACACACTGACATGGGCCTCTTCTGAGCCTTCAACCTAATTTTGTGTTCATAATTGTTATTCTTCTTCCCGAAAAAGGGCTTTCCAAGTTCAACAAGGTTAGCCTACTAACCAGTTTTGGGTCCACCCTAGAGCCAGAATGAGTCTGCATGACTCCATAACGCCTTAGGAGAAAACAAAGACTAATAATTGAAACTTACAGCAAGGCAGAACATTGCTCAAGATCTGGAAATTCTCCCAGTCAGCTCTATTAAAAATTGGGATGGGCTGCAGAAAACCCGTGAGCATGTCACTGGAAGTCTTCAAGTAGGAACAGAATGATCGCCTGCAGGATGTTGTAAGAGGAGCTGATGATCTCTTCCAACTCCAGGAATCTGAATCTCTAAGATAAGCTGTAAAGTGTCTAGAAATCATTTTTAGCTGTGCATTATAGCAGGTACCCCAGTGTATCAGTTTGTTAGCATTGTTTAAATTGCTATAGTACTATAAAGTTACACAAATATATATTCAAAAGTATTCAATATTTCAGAATGAACTTTTGTCAGTCACCATTAGGAGGTTACTGAATTTAATTGGCAATACACTCCTAACTGCCTACTCCTCTAGCTACGCTCTTGGATACTGGATTCCTTGTTCAAAAATAGCCTAGGTTGTGTGTGGCTACTCATGCCTGTAGTCTCAGCACTTTGGGAAGCTAAAGCAGGTGGATTGCTTTAGCCCAAGAGTTCTAGACCAGCCTGGGGAACATGATGAAACCCCCTCTCTACTAAAAATACAAAAAAAAAAAAAAATGAGCTGGACATGGTGGCATGCACCTGTAGTTCCAGCTACTCGGGAGGCTGAGGTGTAAGGATCACCTGAACTGAGGAGGTGGAGGCTGCAGTGAGCTGTGATCATGCCACTGCACTCCAGCCTAGCTGACAGAATGAGATTGAGACTGTCGAAGGAAAGAAAGAAAGAAGAAAGAAAAAGAAAGAAAGAAAGAGAAAGGAAGGAAGGAAGGAAGGAAAGAAGGAAAGAAAGAAAGAAAAGAAAGAAAGATGGAAAGAAAGAACCCAGAAGCTTCATCCCAACAGCTCTGTCATCATCGTTGCTACCGTGACAGTTAAGCGCAGCAGCCACTTGGTCCTTCAGTGCACATCAGACACATCATCACAGTGAACCATTGATGACAGTTTGACTAATAGTGATGGCCCCATGTGCTGTAGATTACTAATATTCAGTTTCCTACCAGAAAGGAGGTCAGCACTATCATCAAGGTCAAAGATACCTCCATGCCAATCCCGTAATCTAATCTATGAGAGTCTGTTTTCTTGGACCTCATACCCAGTGTGACATCAGTCATGGTCCAGTCAAGAAAACAGAAACAACCTTAGCATTTCAACAGAGAGAATTTAATATAAGAAATTTGTGAATCAGGTGGGGCACGGTGGCTCACCCCTGTGTAATCCCAGCACTTTGGGAGGCTGAGGCGAGTGGATCACCTGAGGTTAGAGTTCAAGACCAGCCTGGCCAACATGATGAAACCCCATCTCTACTAAAAATACAAAAATTAGCTGGGTGTGGGGTCATGCGCGTGTAGTCCCAGCTACTTGGGAGGCTGAGACAGGAGAATCGCTTGAACTCAGGAGGCAGAGGTTGCAGTGAGCTGGTATCACACCATTGCACTCCAGCCTGGGTGACAGAGTGAGGCTCCATCTCAAAAGAAAAAACAATTAGCCAGGCACGGTGCTGGGCGCCTGTAATCCCAGCTACTCAAGAGGCTGAGGCAGGAGAATTGCTTGAACCTGGAAGATGGAGGTTGCAGTGAGCCAAGATTGTGCCACTGCACTCCAGCCCGGGAGACAGAGTGAGACTCTGTCCAAAAAATAAAAAAAAGAAAGAAAAGAAAAAGAAATTGGTGGCCGGGTGCAGTGGCTCACGCCTGTAATCCTAGCAATTTGGGAGGTCAAGGTGGGCAAATCATGAGGTCAGGAGTTTGAAACCAGCCTGGCCAATATAGTGAAACTCTGTCTCTACTAAAAATACAAAACAAATTAGCTGGGCGTAGTGGCAGGTGCCTGTAATCCCAGCTACTAGGGAGGCTAAGGCAGGAGAATCGCTTGAACCCAGGAGGCAGAGGTTGCAGTGAGCCAAGATCTCACCATTGCATTCCAGCCCCGGCGACAGAGTGAGACTCCATCTGCACCAAAACCAACAAAAAGAAATTGGTGATGGAGACTGCGTCCACCTCGCAAGCACAGAGCCTCACCCTTGCTGTTCCGTTACCCGTCCACACCCGCCACCGGCTTGCCATGGATGATGATATCGCTGCACTCGTTGTTGACAATGGCTCCAGCATGTGCAAGGCCGGCTTTGCGGGTGTTGATGCTCCCCGGGTCGTCTTCCCCTCCATCGTGGGGCACCCCAGGCACCAGAGCATGATGGTGGGCATAGGTCAGAAGGACTCCTATGTGGGTGATGAGGCCCAGAGCAAGAGAGGCATCCTGATCTTGAAGTACCCCATCGAGCACAGCATTGTCACCAACTGGGACAACATGGAGAAGATCTGGCAACACACTTTCTGCAACGAGCTGCGTGTGGCTCCTGAGGAGCACTCTGTGCTGCTTACTGAGGCACCCCTGAACCCCAAGGCCAACCGTGAGAAGATGACCCAGATCATATTTGAGACCTTCAACACCCCAGCCATGTATGTGGCCATCCAGGCCGTGCTTTCTTTGTATCCCTCTGGCCGTACCACTGGCATCATGATGGACTCCAGTGACAGGATCACCCACACTGTGCCCATCTATGAGGGGTATGCCCTCCCCCATGCCATCCTGCATCTGGACCTGGCTGGCCTGGACCTGGCTGGCCAGGACCTGACTGATTACCTCATGAAGATCCTCACCGGGCGCGGCTATAGCTTCATCACCACGGCTGAGCGGGAAATCGTGCGTGACATCAAGGAGAAGCTGTGCTACGTTGCCCTGGACTTCGAGCAGGAGATGGCCACAGCGGTCTCCAGTTCCTCCCTGGAGAAGAACTATGAGCTGCCCGATGGTCAAGTCCTCCACTGGAAACGAGCGGTTCCGCTGCCCTGAGGCGCCCTTCCAGCCATCTTTCCTGGGAATGGAATCTTGTGGCATCCACGAAAACTACCCATAACTCCATCATGAAATGTGACATGGACATCCACAAAGACCTGTATGCCAACACAGTGCTGTCTGACGGTACTACCGTGTACCCTGGCATTGCTGACAGGATGCAGAAGGAGATCACCGCCCTGGCACCCAGCAAGATGAAGATCAAGATCATTGTTCCTCCCGAGCGCAAGTACTCCGTGTGGATCGGTGGATCCATCCTGGCCTCGCTGTCCACCTTCCAGCAGATGTGGATCAGCAAGCAGGAGTACGACGAGTCTGGCCCCTCCATCGTCCACCGCAAATGCCTCTAGGCGGACTGTAACTTAGTTGTGTTACACCCTTTCTTTTTCTTTTTTTTGAGACGGAGTTTCGCTCTTGTTACCCAGGCTGGAGTGCAATGGCACGATCTCGGCTCACCGCAACCTCCGCCTCCTGGGTTCAGACAATTCTCCTGCCTCAGCCTCCTGAGTAGCTGGGATTACAGGCACGTGCCACCATGCCCAGCTAATTTTTTGTATTTTTTAGTAGAGACGGGGTTTCACCATGTTGACCAGGATGGTCTTGATCTCTTGACCTCATGATCCACCCACCTCGGCCTCCCGAAGTGCTGGGATTACAGGCTTGAGCCACCGTGCCGGCATTACACCCTTTCTTGACAAAACCTAACTTGTGCAAAAACAAGATGAGTTTGGCATGGCTTTATTTGTTGTTTTGTTTTGTTTTGTTTTGTTTCGGCTTGACTCAGGATTTAAAAACTGGGATGGGGAAGGTGACAGCAGTCGGTTGGAGCAAGCGTCCCCCAAAGTTCTACAATGTGGCCGAGGACTTGATTGTGTACATTGTTTTTTTTTTAAGTCATTCCAAATATCGTGAGAAGCATTGTTACAGGAAGTCCCTTGCCCTCCCAAAAGCCACCCCACTTCTCTCTAAGGAGAATAGCCCAGCCCTCTCCCGAGTCCACACGGGAGGTAACAGCATTGCTTTTGTTGTAAATTATGTAATGAAAAAATTTTTTACATTTTGCCTTAATTCTTTTTTTATTTGTTTTTTGTTTGTTTGTTTGTTTTTTGTTTTTTTTTTTTTTGAGACGGAGTTTCGCTCTTGTTACCCAGGCTGGAGTGCAATGGCGCGATCTCGGCTCACCGCAACCTCCGCCTCCTGGGTTCAGGCAATTCTCCTGCCTCGGCCTCCTGAGTAGCTGAGATTACAGGCACGCGCCACCATGCCCAGCTGATTTTTTGTATTTTTAGTAGAGACGGGGTTTCACCATGTTGACCAGGTTGGTCTCGATCTCTCGACCTCGTGATCCACCCGCCTCGGCCTCCCAAAGTGCTGGGATTACAGGCTTGAGCCACCGCGCCCGGCTATTTGTTTTATTTTAAAAGATTTTAGCCTCTGTGGCTGCCCCTTTTTCGTCCCTTAACTTGAGATGTATGAAGGCTTTTGGTCTCCCTGGGAGTAGATGGAGGCAGCCGGGGCTTACCTGTACACTGACTTGAGACCGGTTGAATAAAGTACACACCTTAAAAAATAAAAGAAAGAAATAAATTGGTGACGCAAATAAAAAGACAAAAACAGAAAACTGAGGCAGCACAGGCCTAAGAGGCAGGAGGCAGTGTGGAGGCCAAAGCAGCTCCACCAAAGACGCTGATCCTCCATGTTGGCTTCTGGTTAACCCCTGTTCCCGGAAGCCTCTGAGATTTCCAGTTTATGTGTTGTTCCTTGTGTTAGAGCAGGTACTTTACCATAAATCTTGCCCTTAGGTCAAACGACCTTGATGTTATCATATTTCAATTGTCTTACACATCTCTTCTGAAGCACGTACACCTTTTCCCAATGGTGTATAAACCATGGGTCTGGGGATGATGGCGCAGGGTCTGCCATCTCGACTCGCAGTCACCAGAGACACAAACCTGGCTTCTGTTCGTAAGTCCCTCTTAAATGTTTCTTTTCCAAGAAACTAGATTTGTCAGCCTCCATTTTATGCCTGGTACCCCAGACTAGAAGGGCTGAGGTGTGGAATCTATCCCCTGGGTTGAATGAACACTGCTTATTTTTGGCCACAGGGTTTTGCTCTAGGGCCCAGGCTGGAGTGCAGTGGCATGTACCCACAAATTTCTGGGCTCAAGCGATCCTTCTACCTCAGCCTCTCGAGTAGCTGAGACGGCAGGCGCATGCTATCACACCCAGCTAAGTATTTTGTTTTAATTTTTTTTTTTCTTTTTTGAGACAGAATCTCACTTTATCGCCCAGGCTGGAGTGCAGTGGCGTGATCTTGGCTCACTACAACCTCCGCCTCCTGGGTTCAAACTTGAAATTTGTGGGTACATGCCACTGCACTCCAGCCTGGGCCTAGGACTTGGATCTCATAATTGAAAGAGAAGTGACCTGTTTCTTTGCCTTAGATTTTTTTTTTTTTTTTTAAATAAACTCTGAGGCCGGGCGTGGTGGCTCAAGCCTGTAATCCCAGCACTTTGGGAGGCTGAGGCGGGTGGATCATGAGGTCAAGAGACCGAGACCATCCTGGCCAACATGGTGAAACCCCTTCTCTACTAAAAATACAAAAAATTAGCTGGGCATGGTGGCGCGTGCCTGTAATCCCAGCTACTCAGGAGGCTGAGGCAGGAGAATTGCCTGAACCCAGGAGGCGGAGGTTGCGGTGAGCCGAGATCGCGCCATTGCACTCCAGCCTGGGTAACAAGAGCGAAACTCCATCTCAAAAAAAAAAAAAGCTCTCACTCTGTCGTCCAGGCTGGAACTGGAGTTCAACGGAATGACCTTGGCTCACTGCCGCCTCAGCCTCCCCAGTTCAGAGATCCTTCCACTTCAGCCTTCTGAGTAGCTGGGACTACAGGTGCACACCACCATGCCCAGGTAATTATTTAATTTTTGTAGTGATAGGGGTCTGGCTACATTGCCTATGCTGGTCTCAAACTCCTGGGCTCAAGTGATCCTCCCACCTCAGCTTCCAACGTGCTGGAATTACAGGCATGAGCCACCCCGCTGGCGGGGCCTTTTTTTCAGAATGATTATTTTCTTTTCTTTTTTAATTTATTGTCCTAATAGAGACGGGGTTTCATCAGGCTGGTCTTGAACTCCTGACATCGTGATCTACCTGCCTTGGCCTCCCAAAGTGCTGGGATTACAAGCGTGAGCCACTGTGCCTGGCCCAGAATGATTATTTTCTATTGTTGAGATGTAGCTGATGTGAACTGGTTCATCGATAGTTTTGAAATAGCCTGTATTTTTTACTAGAAGCAAATTATATCAGGCCAATTTTTATTTTTCCTTTCTCAAGAAACACAATCAGCTGTCATAAGTGAAAGCAGCCAAAGGGCCCTGAAGAGGTAATACAGATTTTTGGCCACTTTAGCCAATACCATGAGTTTGTTTTTAATGTGTCTAATTTACCTCTACCTTTACCGAATTTTTTTTTTTTAGACAGAGTTTCGCTCTTGTCCAGGCTGGAGTGCAATGGTGCAATCTCAGCTCACCACAACCTCTGCCTCCTGGGTTCAGGCAATTCTCCTGCCTCAGCCTCCTGAGTAGCTGGGATTACAGGCAGGCGCCACCATGCCCAGCTAATTTTTTCTATGTTTAGTAGAGCCGGGGTTTCACTATGTTGACCGGGATGGTCTCGATCTTTTGACCTCATGATCCACCCACCTCGGCCTCCCAAAGTACTGGGATTACAGGCGTGAGCCACCACGCCCGGCCGAATATTTTTTAAAAACCCTCTTGCCCTGCGCTAAGATTTTCAATATGTTTCTCTCCCTTTTCTGAGCTATTAGCCTCTCTCTTCTCTGACATATCCCTATCGTCTTACCAATTTTAATGTGGTGTACTGTATGTGATTATCCCCAACCATTTGATTAAATCATATTGCCTAGCCTATTACATGAATGGGTGCCTAGTTAAATCTTGAAATTCTTCACCTGGGTTGAAATTATATTCCCCTTCTCTTTTACAAATCCTTATATGTCTCATTGGTTGTTGTTCTAGATTCATTTACCAACCACCACACTCTATTAGAAGCCAAAGTTTATGGGGTTAGAACTGGAAAACCGACAAAGCAAAAGTCTTTTAGTACCTCTCATCACATCCTAAGGCAATATGATGCTTCATGTTAAGCAGTGCAATCACAGCAAGTAATAAGACTTTCCGTACCAAACCACACTTCGTTTGTTTTCTTCGACTTTTCTAGTGCTGGGGGTGGCAGGAAGAGACAGGTGGCACAGCATGGCCAGTGCTATATAGCATGGAATGCTTTTAACAGAGAACAAAGTGTTTGTATTACTAAAAGGCAGGAATCTGGGGCACAGTGGGTGTTTAGTAACTGAATTGCTATGAATGATTTTCCATAAATATCTAAATAACATTCCAGCCTTTGCCAGCTTCGTAGCAGGATTAGACAGTAGGAATGCACTGAGTTTGTGCTCGTGGAGGAAGTAAGATTGGAGGAAGGAAGGCAATAGAAATGAGGGCAGAGATGCGGTTTATCTCCTCCCGGAGCAGTAGGCTCTGGGCACAGGAAGCCCCGGGTGGGATGGTAGGTGGGATGACCTCTGTCTACTGGTGACCCAGAAGCACACCTATGCCTTCAGGATGAAGTGTGCTCTACTCCTCACCCAAAGGTTTAGTTTTGAATTACTTGCACATTCAGAAAAATTACATGTATTCTGAACATACAACTCACTGGATTGTCACAAACTATGCAACCAGCACCACGTTAAAAATATACTATTTTATTTTTATTTATTGTTATTATTATTTTGGGGACAGGGTCTGGCTCTGTTGCTCAGGCAGGAATGCAGTGGCGTGGATCTCGGCTTACTGCAACCTCCGCCTCCCACGTTCAAGCGATTCTCCTGCCTCAGCCTCTGGAGAAGCTGGATTACAGGCACAGGCCACCACCCCCAACTAATTTTTATATTTTTAGTAAAGACAGGGTTTCGCCACATTACTCAGGCTGGTCTCGAACTCCTGACCTCAAGTGATTCGCCCGCTTCGGCCTCCCAAAATGCTAGGATTACAGAAGTGAGCCACCGCACCCAGCCAAAAAGATATTATTTGAATAATATGAATGTAACTTGCATGTGTATGAAATGCCCAAGGTGACAGGGTGTTATGAAAATGTCTCCCTTCATTCTATTCACCTGGTCACCCAGGTCTCCTAACTAGAGAAAAAAAACGTTGTCAGTAATTTCATGATCAATGAGTTTTAAACCAAACAGACTTCGTGACATCTCTAAGATCTCGGCTTGGGCTCCGGGGTATGGGTGAGGCTGTAAGGCTCTTTGTGTGAGCTCAGGACGGCACTGGACGAGCGGGCCCTGG